TTAAGACAATTTCTGGGCCGAGCGTTGCGGCTAGGTCAGGCTAGGGGACCGAGCGCTGGGGCTAGGACAGGCTAGGGGTCCGGGCGCTGCGGCCACAAGTCCATTTAGCAGCTGTAAAACCACGTGCTAGTAGGTCGGATGTGTAGTATAGCGGATTTGTCGTAGGTCAGAAGTGAAGTATAGCGGATTTGCGTAGGTCGAAAAATACACCACCGTCTCTAGTAAAACTATTTGTTTTGTTAACATAAATACACTTTAATATTGCTGTAATGTCGTCTTCTTATTCGTATCATTTTCTTGTTATCACTGTAGAAAGATTATTTTTTAGGATTACCCTCACCTCACGGGAACAAACTTTCATTACAACGTATATCTAACAATACATGAAGGTTTCGTTTGAATTTTTATTCAAATAAAATGTTTAAATTCAAGAAAGAAAATGATCAGGGGCGTACTCAGGAATTTGTTAATGGAGGAGGGGGGGGGCTCAGCATCTGTTGAGCCAAAAAACCCATCGGTAACCAAAGATTTCACTGATTCGGGGGTGGGATGAGCGCCCTTACCTCCACCCCCTTGTACGCTTTTGAATGTAAATGAATAAAAAAGACACCCAAGTATTATTGTACAGTCGTTTCTGAAGTATCCTACAAGGGTAACCCTGAAGATTAGGGTAGCCCCTCACCCTCTTGCACACTGTTCAGACAACAATAATTTGTCAGTAATTATTTATTACAAGCAGTGGCTTACCCGGGAACTAACTTTTCAGGAGGGGGCTAATTTTTTTCCAGATTTTTTCCAATGGGGGGGGCGAGCACCCATATCCCCACCCCCTAAGTGCGCCTCTGATTACAAACGAAAAAATCGTTAATTTGAAAAAGAAAGCGATAATTTGTCAGTGATAATTTATCGCAGATTAAAAATCGTTAACTTCACCAAGAAAGCGATTAATAATCACTGATTTTTTATCTTGTGTAGAACAAGGTTTTCATTTATTTACCGTAAGTGTGCAAGGAGACGAGAAATAGAGAAAACTGAGAGAGAAACCCTTACTAGACTAATTTAAACTATAATTTAATGAATATTTTGTCGTAAAGTTCTAGTAGAGGGAAGAAAAGGATGCATTGTAACCAGAAATTTATAACGGATTTAAAATCGTTTACTTGAGAAAGAAAGTGATTATTTGTCAGTGATTTTTAATCTTTGGAATAACAATGTTTAAAGTCGCAGATTAAAAATCGTTTATTTCGTGAAATAACGGATTAATTGTCCGTGTTTACAGTTTGTCAGAGAAACTTCAGATTAATAATCCGTTATTTCGCCAAGTTACAGATTTTTAATCCGTAAGTTAGTGATTAAAAATCCTTTAATTTTCAGACTTTTAATATGTTGTTAAGCGACCGTCCGTTCTGAGTCGCTTTCTTTTAAAAGAAAGCGATTTTAATCGTTTACTTCACCAAGATAAGGATACAGTGTGTCTGCAGTGTTCACATTTTCCAAATTTTGTAGATTTTTGCATATTTTAAAAGATTGAAAATTGTAGCATAAAATGCTTTTATTTATTTTCTAAATTTTAGAGCTGTTTACTTGTCAATCTACAATTTTCAGGAATTAAAATGGTACAATGGAAAAAGTTACAACACTCATGATATCTAATTTCAATAATTAATAGTGTGCAATGTATAGTAATAATATAGAAATGAGATGTCTAAAATATATTTAGACATCCCAGGTAGGTTAAAAATTAGGTTTGTTCAATTATCGTTGGTTTCATTACCAAAATAGTAAAAAGACACATTTTAAGTTGGTCACCCTTTATATAAAATAATCTAAATTTTGATTTGGACACTTGTGTGTTGCTTCATCTGTCCAAATTCACTTTGCACACATCTGGTGGTAAACAAATGTTCAAGTTACAGGTCTGATACAATTTCACCTATCCAATTCATGTATTTTGCATGGGGCTTTGATTTTTAATCTTTGGAAAAACAATGTTTAAAGTCGCAGATTAAAAATCGTTTATTTCGTGAAATAACGGATTAATTGTCCGTGCGTACAGTTCGTCAGAGAAACTTCAGATTAATAATCCGTTATTTCGCCAAGTTACAGATTTTTAATCCGTAAGTTAGTGATTAAAAATCCTTTAATTTTCAGACTTTTAATACGTTATTAAGCGACCGTCCGTTCTGAGTCGCTTTCTTTTAAAAGAAAGCGATTTTTAATCGTTTTCTTCACCAAGATAAGGATACAGTGTGTATATGTATATTGTACAACTTGATCCTCCTGTCTAAAATTTGTTAGTTTGCTACTTCAAATGAACCATAGGTTTCAGTGCTAAGGCAATTCCTCTCCCAAAGCATGTATGTCTGTATGAACCATGCAAGTACTTTGGGGCCAAGCTACTGTTTGTTTCATATCTGACAGAGAGATAATTACAGTTGGATACATCATATCTGCTTGACCATTGTTATTGTGTTGAGTAAAACCCAAAGAGAATAGAATATATATATTAGAGTAAAATTTAGACAATCGGTATGAATTTTTTCAGTCCCTTTCAGGCTGAAAGGGAGTTCAAAGTGTATAAATCAAGTAAATGTTCACAAATTTTTTGCAGTAGAATAATTTAATACAGTATGTTCCCAAGACTTTTCATTTCAATTTCGAATTTTTTTAAAGCTGTTAAATAAACTTTATAAAATTTATTGGGTGAATAAAAAACACCATTTGATTTATAGTTATAACGGTAAATCATCATTTGTAAAGTGAAAGGCATAGAGTCTATGTGAAATGATCATTGGTCAATTATGAAACCAGCCTATTACATAATTTTGTTCCAGGGCCCAAAAGGCTATGGAAGTACACCTGCAGTATGGAAACAGTACAACAAAATGGCCGTTTTACACTATTTTCTATTAAATTCCACTCTAATATATATTCTATTCTCTTTGGTAAAAACGTACTCTGTGCAACTACACTTACAGGCAAGCGAAGCTAGTGGATACACAAACCTTACCATTGTTTTTTAATTTATTTATAGATTTCCTGCCCAAACTCTACAGTTTTGGAACATAAAAAATGATGTTCAATATTTCTAGTATTTTTGATTATATACTCTCCTATATTGCTCAAATACCTGAACAATCCCTTTATTGTTTGGATTTACTAACATAAGATAATGTATTTCTAGGGATACTAAAGATAGCCTTATAACTGTAAGAACCTGTCGTAAAAAAAATAAGGTAATATAAATTTGTATATAACTAAAAATGTAACCTCTAAGTCCAGAAGATTTTTATGAAGTTTCTCCATATTGTATTTTCTGCAGGAACTGCCCCCTTGTAAGACTAAGAAAGACTGCATAAATGACCAAACCTGTCTTAAAGTAGGCCAGGTGTGTGTGTGTAAAATATCTGCTGAACACCCTTACTCGGATTGTGATCCAGCAGTATGTGATATATGCGCATGCGCGCCATGTCCTAAAGGAGAAGTGTGCGTGGTGTAAGTAATTCTTTAAGACTAAAATCTCATTACAAGGGCTGGGCGTAATCTTGAATCGTAATATGAGCTGGCTTGTTTGTTTTATATTTATTCTTTTTGTAATCATCTGTTCCAAAAAATTGTTGTTCCAAAAAATTACTAAAGTGAAAAATTAATGTTCAGTAATAATCGAGAAAAAGTTTTTTTCCGAACTTGTGGAAAAACTAACTGTGATAAGGAATGTCCAAAAGGACAAAAATGTGTCCTAAGGTAAGCATAAACCCTATATACAGTCAACAAAAGATCACACAAAAATTAATGCCAATTCAAGTCGAACCTGTTTTGATGTTCACTGGATTAAAAAAAAAAATATAAAAATCTGCTTAGATAACACTCATTGTCAAAAAAGATTAGTTAAAGTTGCATAGACCTTCTTTAAGCAATCTCAGATTTTGTTTTCAATTTTCAATATCAAAATAACATTTTAAGAGGTGACAAGCAGGTTTGTGGTCGGAAAACATGTGAATCTGACAAGGATTGTGAGGAAGAAGAAGAAGTAAGAAATTTTAACATTTGTTGAATACATAAATATAAACAAGTTTGTACTCCACTATGCAGTTAATGAAAATACTAAAAAGAAATTTTCACATGCCCTACAAGAAATATTGAACAATGTTATTAGAATAAAATTCTTACTTTTGACTAAACAATCATGAATTATTGTGATAAATTTAAGTAATACATGTCTTGTATGTCGCTTCCCCTCTCTATTTAAGTAATACATGGCTTGTATGTCGCTTCCCCTCTCTTTTTCCAATAACAATTTTAGCGTTTAAAGGGACAGTAAAGGAAAAATGAAAGGGGGTATAGACTGAAAGCTAATCACTTTAGCTCTCGATCGCGACCCATGAAAGTTATATCTGATGTTCCTATCTCGAGAAATTGATTTACAACTGTGTCAAATTTATACGAAAATTAATAAATATACAATTTTGTATAAAAGTAGTGGGTTTAAATAGATCAAATTCAGCAAATAAGCAACCAATCTGAAAACGATAATATCCCCGAGAAAGCTAATTATTACTTAGGTTTACTCCAATTCTAATTTTATATTTGTTATTTCTATTTTTAATAGATTTAATTTATAATATTATTTACACGTCCGAATTGCTTGACCAGAAAATCCACCAATGACAGTGCAGTAAACTGGTCACGTGATACAGACAGAGACACATGATCAGTATACTGCTCTGCCATTGGTGATAGTTCTGGTCACGTGATTTAAGTTTAAGATTTTCTAAATTTTACATATATGAACTTTCGTATGATTTTAACACAGTTTTATATCAATTTCTCGAGACAGGAAAATCAGATAAAACTTTCATGGGTCGCGATCAAGAGCTAAAGTGATTAGCTTTCAGCCTATACCCCCTTTCATTTTTCCTTTACTGTCCCTTTAAGTCAGCATTTTTTTATTGTAAGAAAAAACTAGAGTTTTCATCTGATTTTTCAGATTTTAAAATCTTCATTTTCTTGACAATTTTAAATAAAATGTTCAATCTTTTAGTTTTATCCGTTATAAAATTTATTAGAAACAAACCTACCAAAAGACTAGCAAAATATATATTTATATATATGTCTATATACAAAAAAAAAGTGATTTAATAAAATAAATATGAATAAAACCTTAAAATGTTAAATTCTAATCTTGCTTTCTATTTCAGTGCAAACAAGGAAGGATAACATACACATAAAGCTATCATATGCTAAAAGACCTATCTAATTTAATTTTAAAAATATATTTTAAATCTAAATTATGTTACCTGGATTATCTAAAAGATAATGGAGATAGAACTTGTCAATGCAGATGCAGAGAAGATCCAAAAACTGGAGTTTGCGAGAAACCCTGTAATATCTGCACTTCTCCTCAACTATTCAGTAATTATTCTTTTACCCTCTCAATTAGGACTGTGCTCATTCTGACTTTTTCAAGCCGTTCCTTAATAGTTTGTTAAAAGCATTAAAAAAAATTCAGGAAGTCGTTCGTTATTTAGCTATAAAAACAGAATTTTCCATTATTTTTAAAAGCTGCTGTTTGCTAATCATCTCAGTATTTATTAACATGAATCGAATAATTTTTTTCTTAATTTTTCAACCGTTAATTTCAAGAATGGCTCTTTACCGTTATTTAACGATTTAAAAACTACCAATTTTTGCCGTTCATTATTTGACTCTTCCGTTAATTTTAAAAACCTTCCGTTTTGCTAATGAAACGTTGCCCAGCCCTAGTCTCAACCTACTGAAAGGAATGTCAAAATTAGTCCAAGTGACCCTCCATTTGTCAAGTGATATATCCAAAAAATGAGAGATACATGATTCCTCTTTGAAATTGGTTGTTCTCAACTGTTGTTCCTCTTTAAAATTGACGTAATTCCAAGTGACCATCAAATATTAAATTAAAAGATATTCCACAAGTTATAAACGGTACTCTTCCAAAGTGAATTGCCGTAAAATTGCTAGAAAAATGTCTAAATATAAATTATAGATCAAATAAAAGTTTTAAGGGGACTGTTGTTATCGGACATAGCCCATTTTAAAGGAAAATTTCCTTCAGTTTTTTATTTTAAAGAGACTGTAAAGGAAAAATTAAAGGGGAATCTCAGTGTTTAACAATACATAAAGTTTAAACAGATCATATTCAGCAAATATGCAACCAATCTAAAAACGATTATATCCCACAGGAGTCTGAGAATCTGCGGTTTCCTCCTTCTATTTCTTTTCAATTTCTATTTTTCATTTTAATAGATAATTGATAATATTATTTCATTTAGTCCGTAAAGTCTGTATTACGTAACAAGAATTTTTAGCCAATGGCAGTGCAGTATACTGGTCATGTGATATCCGTCTGTAATACATGACCAGTATACTACACTGCCATTGGATGAAGTTTTGGTGACTGATACGAACTATATCGGGCTAAAGGTAATAACATTTTCAATTATAACTTTTCAAAATGCAAAATAAAAATTAAAAAATTATAATAGGAGTAAACGTGAGATTCTCAGGCTCCTGTGGGATATAATCTTTTTCAGATTGGTTGCGTATTTCCTGAATATGATCTGTTTAAACCTACTACTTCTATACAAAATTGTATTTACATGAGTTTTCGTATAATTTTGATACAGTTTTATATCAATTTCTTGTGACAGAAATAACAGATAGATGTCTTATAAGTATCGTTCAACGCCTGAGATTCTCAGGTTTCATCCTAATCCTATACCCCTATTCTTTTTTCCTTTACAGTCCCTTTAAGAATTATGTTTGTAAAATAAATTTACAGAAAATGAATGTGGAGCATATGCTGAGCATGCTGGCTGCTATCCACCCTCCAAGGTTAATTATTATTTTCTTTAAAAAGAATTTTTACCATTGATATTTTCAAGATCTATATTAATTAAAACTCTATAAACAGTTACAAATACAAATGATGTCTAACAAAAACATGTGTGAATATCACAAATCAAAGTTATATTATCAAAATCATACTTCTGAAAATTTACCCATCCTGATGTTTATTGGCTATCAATGACTACAGAAATAAAATTGATAATTTTAAACTACCCTTTTATAAATGTTAAAAAAAAATGCAAACATAAAATATACAAGAATTGAAAAAAGCAAATTTACATTTTTTGCTTATATTTTGATGTCTGACAGATTTAAAATATTTGATAAATTCAAAATGTCGCCGTTATCTTTAAATATACTTAAATGATGTAAAGGGTCTCCCTCTATTAAATGAGAGGTAGGTCTGATTTACAACTAGGGTGTTTCATCATTTTCAAAAACGATCGTTAATGAAACGACGAACTTGATAAAAAACAACTGTTTAATAAAAAAGATTTTTTTTAAAAACGATTTTTTTAAATGATCGTTTTTGAAAATGATCATTTCGTTTTTAGTTTTTTTTTTGTCGTCGATTTCATATTGAAACAATTGTTTTTTAGAAAAATCAAAATAGTCCATCCCTATTTATCTTTTGAGCCTTTAACTGATCATCAGTGGCATATCACTCAGTGTTTTTATCTGTAAAATAATGTTTAAATTGCTCTGGAAAGTAAATTAGCGTACACTAAACATATAAGTAAATTAGCGTACACTAAACATATAAGTAAATTAGCGTACACTAAACATATAAGTAAATTAGCGTGAACTAAACATTTAAGTAAATTAGCGTGAACTAAACATATAAGTAAATTAGCGTACACTAAATATATAAGTAAATTAGCGTACACTAAACACATAAGTCAATTAGCGTACACTAAACATACAAGTAAATTAGCGTGAACTAAACATATAAGTAAATTAGCGTACACTAAATATATAAGTAAATTAGCGTACACTAAACATATAAGTAAATTAGCGTCGTACACTAAACATATAAGTAAATTAGCGTACACTAAACATATAAGTAAATTAGCGTACACTAAACATATAAGTAAATTAGCGTACACTAAACATATAAGTAAATTAGCGTACACTAAACATATAAGTAAATTAGCGTGAACTAAAGATTTAAGTAAATTAGCGTGAACTAAAAAAATAAGTAAATTAGCGTACACTAAACATTTAAGTAAATTAGCGTGAACTAAACATATAAGTAAATTAGCGTACACTAAACATATAAGTACACTAAACATATAAGTAAATTAGCGTACACTAAACATATAAGTAAATTAGCGTACACTTAGCGTACACTAAACATATAAGTAAATTAGCGTACACTAAACATATAAGTAAATTAGCGTACACTAAACATATAAGTAAATTAGCGTACACTATACATTTAAGTAAATTAGCGTGAACTAAACATATAAGTAAATTAGCGTACACTAAACATATAAGTAAATTATCGTACACTAAACATATAAGTAAATTAGCGTGAACTAAACACATAAGTAAATTAGCGTACACTAAACATATAAGTAAATTAGCGTGAACTAAACATTTAAGTAAATTAGCGTGAACTAAAAATATAAGTAAATTAGCGTACACTAAACATAAAAGTAAATTAGCGTGAACTAAACATATAAGTAAATTAGCGTACACCAAACATATAAGTAAATTAGCGTGAACTAAACATTTATGTAAACTAGCGTGAACTAAACATATAAGTAAATTAGCGTACACTAAACATATAAGTAAATTAGCGTGAACTAAATATATAAGTAAATTAGCGTGAACTAAACATTTAAGTAAATTAGCGTGAACTAAACATATAAGTAAATTAGCGTACACTAAACATATAAGTAAATTAGCGTACACTAAACATATAAGTAAATTAGCGTACACTACATTTAAGTAAATTAGCGTACACTAAACATATAAGTAAATTAGCGTACACTAAACATATAAGTAAATTAGCGTACACTAAACATATAAGTAAATTAGCGTACACTAAACACATAAGTAAATTAGCGTACACTAAACATATAAGTAAATTAGTGTACACTAAACATATAAGTAAATTAGCTTGAACTAAACATATAAGTAAATTAGCGTACATTAAACATATAAGTAAATTAGCGTACACTTAAGATATGTAAATTAGCGTGAACTAAACATATAAGTATATTAGTGTACACTAAACATATAAGTAAATTAGCGTGAACTAAACATATATGCTGATGTTGCATATATTTTTAGATAGACCGGATTATTATATGTTATTGTTCAAATATTTTTTTATCAAAATCAAATGAAAATATTTTCAGCAACTTTTAGAGAGTAAATATTAATATTTCCCTAATGTAAAACAGCTGACAAACAAAGTCTTCAAGAATTAAAAAAGGATAACCCATCATTGCTAATGTTCAAAGGTTCAAAGGTTTAAATGGCAATGCAGCAAATCAGACACACCATTCTAGGAAAGGGAGGTCGCTAAAAATTCTGCAAATATGTTAATTTGTTACTTTCAGTTTTTCCAGATTCACCACTGAATGCTGTGTTAATTAAATGGATTTCAAGTTAGATACAGGAATTGATTTTTTGCCGGAAACTCAAATTTTCTATTTCCTAAATCTTTGAAAAATTTATGGTTTAAATCTTGTTTTTAGACTCAATTTCTTTCCATATTTTGTAGAAGTCTCTGCATACTTTGATTTCAGTTGGTTCCCAAGGCAGAGTGCACATGCTTCTTTACTCAAAACAAAAAAAATTGCAAATCCTACGATGCAAGTAAAAGGTAATTTAGTAAATTAGTTATTTTTAAATCTGTGCTCTTTTTGCCGGCAACTTATATCAATTGAAAATGGCTGCCAAAGCCGATAATAGCGCCTTCTGATCCCCTAGAGGTAGGTTGCCAAATTCAAATATCTCAGAGATTAAGTTCATATTATTTAGGTGTCCAGTGTTTACAGGGAGAACAGATGAGAGAAGACTTGTTTTGTAAGATTATTTAAGAAAAAGATTATGAATATTCAGCTAATTCTTCTACTATGTTCCTTAAGATGACCCACTTCCTGCTAGAGTTATTCTCAACTCCTGGCTAATAACGGCTGTTTATTTCAGTTGTTTTTCAATGTCTCTTACAATAAGTAGCTAGTGCTGAGTTTTTTATTAGAGTACCTTAGCGTGTTCTTAAAGGATTCTGGAAGATTTCCCCCTGCTTCTTTTCCCTGAATGTTTAAGTGCCGGCTTGCTTGCCATTTATTTTTAATCTTCTAAAATACCAAAGTACTTTAACTAGACATAGTTAATTAATTGGTTGAAAGAATTGCTATTTTTAAGCTCTTTAAATTCTCAAATTTTCTAAATAAAAGTACTAGCAACTAGCAAGCCTGAGCCTTAGTTAATTTAAAGGTTGTAGATTGAAAGAATGAAGTCAAACCGTATAGAAATCCAACGTATAGAAACAGCTTCTATAGCAACAAGGCGTATTTCCGGGAGAACATTTTTTTATATTTTTGAGAAATTAAACGTTTTAGTAACACATTGTAGCTTATCATTATCAATATTATAATTTTTATTTTTTTAACATACCCTAGACATGAAAGGAGCAAAATAGTTTAATATGTACATTTGTACTCAGTACTGCTCTCTATTGTGTTTAAGGTCCCCCAGATTTATGTACTGACAACATAAATGAATGATTATTTGGTTATACATAAAATTGCACGTTACTATTAAAATTTTTTTTTATAAAAATGCTATCTACAGTTTTATTTTTAGAAAAAAAAATTTCTTAAAAGTATGAAAAAGTTTTCCAGTAATGCTAATATGATTAAATAAAATACTGTTTTACCATTTAAATGAAAGGATTTTATGAAGATTATATTTACTTTACACTGATAAGTTAATTTTTCAAAAATATAAAAAATGTTCTCCCGGAAAATACGCCTTGTTGCTATACGTAACGGTTTCTATACGTTGGATTTCTATAAGGTTTGACTTCTGAAAGAATTGTCAATTTATGTGAAGTTTCTCAAATTCTATTTCTAGTCCTATTTTTCAAACCTATATTTAATTGTTGATTTTTTTGTTATTGCAGCTACAGCGCAGTCTCAGACAAGATTTATATTCGAGGTAATCTAAAGAAAGTAAACTGGTGAAAAATCGGCTTTAACATGCAATGAGAGATTTTTTAAAGATTTTTTCAGATGTTCTAATAACATCAAATACAGAAAAATAACAAACTTGCATAAATAAAAATTTATTTTTTAGATGTCTATTATGGTGATGTTATAGAACTAAACTGCGAGAAAGGAAAAAAAATATCCTAAAAATAACCTTAGTGAATATTGCAACCTATTTTGTAATGATACAGTTATTTCTCATGTTTTGTAGGTTTTTCATTTCAAGGATATTTCTTTTGTTTTCAGGGTGCATCGAAATAAAAAAGGTATTATTAAGAGTTTAGATGAGATTATTTATAGTTAATTACTTCAGCTCTTGATCGTGATCCATGAAAGTTATATCTGATGTTCCTGTCTCAAGAAATTGATATAAAACTGTTTCAAATTTATACGAAAATTTATATAAAAACAATTTGCATAGAAATAGTTTGTTTAAACAGATCATATACGGCAAATACGCAGCAAATACAGAAATCTGAAAACAAAGAGTTGCGATCAAGAGCGTAAGTGATTAGCTTTCAGCCTATTACCCCTTTCAGTTTCCTTTACAGTCCCTTTCAGTCAGAAAAAATCTAGGTTTTTAGATTAAAATCAAATCTAATAAGTTTTACAAATTTCAAAATTGTTTATTTTTTACATTTGCTTTCCTTACACTATGCCTAACCATGATCCAGACACAAAATATATTAAATTAAACTCAAAACTAATTCTTTTGTTTTATCTTTTGGTTCATTTTTCCTTTATTTTTTTTTTTAACCCTATTCCTGCCAGCGTATCCTGGTTTTCAAGTACCCCAGCGGGGATAGGGTTAATACAAATGTTGCAAAGTTTGAAACGGTGGAACCTTCACAAATTAACAGTATTTGTGTGGGCACTCTAAATTTCCAGAAAATTAGAAATCAACAAAAAAATAACAGAGTTATTTCCCGTAGCTATACACCATTACGACCAACAATCTTTAAAACTAATTATTTTATGATATTTGTTCTCAGGAAGGAAGAGTATAGGTAATTAGTTGATTGGTACTAATTTTTTAGTGAAGAATTTCAAAAATACCTTGAAGCATTTTTGTAACGCTAATAAGTTGTGCTAACATATTTTCTAGTAAATAATTAGAAAATACATCATAAATCTTGCCAAATGTACAAAACTTATTTTAATTTCTATTTAGTCAATGTACTATTGCAATGCAGCAAGAGGAATGGAACTAGGGTTAGTGGAAAAACATTTGAAGATTGGGAAATCTATTTGTGATGGCTATGAACGATGTGTTCTGCAAGCAAGTAAGTTATTTAAAAGGACTGTTCATATGTTCAATAAGGAGAACTGGGACCAAATTTAATGAATGTAAACTGCCTACCAAAGGAATTGAGTCTTTGCCACAAACTCTGATTTTATATCTTTGGAAGCCAATGTCGTAGACCTTAGACATTTCAAACTATGACCTCTGTTAGATCAAATAATATAAGTTTGAAATATCGAAGTTTAACGTCATTGGGTTCCAAAGATATAGGGATTAGAAAGTAAGAGTTTGTAACAAAGACTCAAGAATCATGGATTTAAATTCTTCCTTAATCTTAAACTTTGAATCAGTGCAGTGGTTTAAATTTGAACTAGCAGTAGGAAAATTAAGCAACGTAGCTTAAATTTCTTTAATTCAGTCCTAGAGTCAGTGATTTGTTTTTAGTTGGGGGTATATTTGATATTGGAGATAATTTTGCGGAATGCCAGAAATCAGATTTGCCTTATGTACTTTGGATAGAGGTAAAACCATTAAAATAAAAAAGAAGTATTTAAAAAGTAGCCAATCTTTAAACATATTTTTCTTGTCTGTACGGGTGTCTGTTTGTCTGTGTCTAATAAACGTCAAAACGACTGAACTAATCAGGCCCACTTTTTTTGAAGGACCTCACATGACCACAGGGAAGATTTATAGATAATCAAATTTCAAAAATTTGCCTCCAACAAAATTTGATTGTCATTAAATTTATAAAAACTTATTGTTTTACAATGCATATAAAGAGAAAATGTTCACAAATAGAAGATAGGGACGAAGTGTCTGGAAGGCCTAGTATTTTATATTTACATATACAGAATAATGAATATGCATGGTGTCATATTGCAATTAAAATAGGATTTGTAGCGTTTCTCTGTTTCTAAAATTCCTAATGGGCACTTTAAAATTACCTTAAACTTATTTCAAACTAAAACACTATATCAACTGCTGTTAAGTATACATGTCGATGGCCTACAAAGGATCAAAAAGAAGGAGTTTGGAAAGTAAACGATCTGTTTGATAAAATCTCATATGACAGATTTGACAACAAAAAACAGGCAGATCAGAAAAGTAAGTGTTTGAAAGCCAGAGTCTTTTTTTATTTAAATGAAATGGTTCTGATATTCTTTTATTTACAAGGATTGAGCTTTTTTGGTCATACAATTACCAATAGCCAATACCAACAATGAAATATGTAAATGTAAATGATTATTTTGTTTAGAGCATCTAAATTACAATTGGAAAGGAAAGGACCAGTGTTTTGGCATTTGTCTAAGTAAAACCCTACTCCCAAAGGGCATTGACCAAGTAGCATACCCTGAAGCAAGACTGAAGGCAATCAAGAAAATACCCAAGTACCCTGGGTCAAGAAACAAACGACCAACTGGTCAAAATATTAATCCGCCAGATAAAGAAAATGATGGATATTATGTTGATTATGAAGAGGATGGAGGTGAATATGAGGATGGGGGTTATTATGAGGATGGGGGTGAATATGAGGATGGGGGTGAATATGAGGAAGGCCAGGATAAGGATAGAACGAAGAAAAAGAAGAAAAAGAAGGAAAAGAAGAAAAAGAAGGGTGGATATGATGATGGATATAATGTTGATTATGAAAAGAATACAGAAGATTATATAAAGAATACAGAAGATTATATAAAGAATACAGAAGATTATATAAAGAATACAGAAGATTATGTGGGTAGCTATAGATCAATCTATGGATAAATCCTATTTACATAAATAAACTTAATTTTATAAATTACAATAAACAAATTCATAGAATGTTTAGAATTATTTTAGAAAAAAAGTTGAATAAAGCGACTTGAGCGTAATTTCAAGTGTTCCAATATTTGTAGAGTAGCATGTGTGTCCGATTCAAATATTTCCTTGAAGACCTCTGACTATCAATGTTGTCGAACTTATTCTGCCAAAAAAAAAACATGATTTTAACTGTTGAATACTATGTTTTCAAGCTGTTTTATATAAAAATAAATACTTATATTCATGTGACAGAAAAAATATTTTCTTTTTTTAACGTAAAATATTAGGCCATTTCAAGCGAACTCCGGCTTACACAGGAATTCAAGCTTTTCTTAGTTCTTTGTACTCAATGAACTGTCAAAGGTTTATAGGGCACTGTTTAAATCGGGAATTGTGCTCTTAGCATCAGTGTCCCTTAAAACCCACTATTTCTTCGGTCATTGAACAGCAAATCAATGCAGTTTGAATTCTGCCAACATCTAAATGTGCAAAAATTCTTTGGGATGGGTTTGTTTTTCAGAACTTTTAAGTTTTTGAACTTTAAAAGGCACCTAAGATAAAATGCAAGCTTAAGTGAAGATTCCAATATTTTAGAACTGCAATTCCTTAAAATTTTGCCTTTGTTACTCCTATTTAAATGTCTGGAATAAACTATTTTAAATTCCTACATAGGGGAGCCTTTTATAAAAGGTCTAGAGCTTTAAGGTTTTTAAAAACGAACAAAACTTTTGCTCATCGCCTAGTAATTGTAAAGGCAAACAAATTATATCTATTGGTCCAAAAACTAATCTTTAAATGCAGATTCAGGAAAAATAAGGGAAGCTGGACCAAAAATAAGGAGATTTTTTATCAAAATGTCAAAATTTGGTTCTAAAAAAGATTTTATTCTTAGAATTTTTTAATAAAATTTTACAATATTTTAAAATTTCATTATGATATCAGATTTCTGCAGGTAATTAAACTGTAGAAAATATTCTAATTTTCTTATAATTGTCACATCTTACAGTGAAACCCTTAATAACGAATGCATCGAAAGAATTCATCAAATGTCGTATTCTTCACTTTCTGATAGTGGAATGTTGCAGATATTTAGTTTCTTAATTAAATGATTATATGGAACTCTTTAAAACTGTTCCCGCATATTCATGGCTATTTATTTATTTTCGCAAATACTGAAATTTACATAATATAGTATAAAACTCATTGAAAAATTGTCAAGACGACATTTAAATACAAAATGTAATCAAGCAATAAATATGAATTATTTTTTTTTGCAGATCTATTCACATAAAACACAGTTTTTATCGAGGTTTTTATTATACAATAATTAAATCACTATTTTATGAATACATATAAATATATAATGAATAAAAACTAAATTTTAGATTTATGTTAAATGCAGAATTTCTTTTCAAAGTCATAAACAAACTTTCTATTATTAAGAGAAAACAAGGATAAATTCTTTTCTTTATTCTCTTCTTTTTTCTCTTCATTCTTGTTTATGTTTTTAACTAATTCTTTATTCTCCATCTCTCCTTCCTCATCCAATATCAAGCTGGTGTCGTTTTTCTAAAAAATAGTAATCTTTAAAGGAACTGTGAACTTCACGTGATGCAGAAGGAGAGTTTTTCTTCAAAACCTTTCACCTAAACATAATGTTAAATATCGTCTTACTGCAATCAATATTTAAGAATTCGTATATATTTCTTTATATTCTATAACAATAGAAGGCAACGTAGAACTTATACACTCTCAGTACAGTTGTATTCTGACGTCACAAGTGTCAACTCAGTTTTTGTGTTCGACAAAATTACTAATAATAGTGATAATTTTAGAATAAAGTGTTTATCTTACAGTAAAATAAGTGCAATTTTATGTGTTCTTAAGTTTCTTAAGTTTTATTTAATCTTGGAAAACAAGTCAAATAATGTGAGAAAATTTCGTTTTCATTGTTATATATATTTGACACTTGTGACGTCATGTATCCATTTCTCTGCTGCCACCTATTGTACTTGATAATCTATTTCTATCAACCGCTCACTTTAGTCAGCCTTTAACCCCTTCTTGGTTTACAAATTAATTTTTTTTAATTTTGCGCGCAATTTATGAACCCAGAAACCAGGTTCAAGTATATTTTTGCTTGTTTTTGTTTTTATTCAGTGTAGATCTTAAAAGGTGTTGAGAGGATACGCAAAAATTAGACAAAAGTGTGAGACCCACTTTTTATCAAGTTAACATTTTTGTGATTTTCGTTCAAAAAAGTATGTCTATAAAGTAATTACTTTTTAATAGAAAATTACAAACTTTGTCATATTCCGGAGCGGTCGATATTGGCCATTTTAAAATCCCATGTTGACGAAGCTCTCGATATCGACCGCTGACCTATCTTTAAAACTATACATTGTTTGAAAAAAAAATATATATTGCTGCGCCTTTGGGAATATTTCTGAAAAATATTTTAAATTAGAACAAAACATTTTGAAAAACGTGGGGCTCGGACATAAACGGTTTTAACAGAACGTCATACATTTATTGTATCAATATCATTTATTGTATCAATATCATGATAAGTGTCGTATTATTCCAACAAATATTTAAGAAAACGTGTTTTTTCACATTTTGAAAGTTCAAAAAGTTTTGATTAAGAGTTAAAATTAAATAGAATTATCATTTCTTCAGATTCATTCACATTTATTGTAGTTCTGTTTAAATTGAATTATAATTCATTTTTCTTCAGAACACAATGTAGAATGTAGATATTGTTTGTTATAATAATGATTTAATTTCAGAATCATTTTTTGAGATTTTACCTCAGGAAAGGTATAATTTATGCACGATATTATATTTTTATTTCAAATGTACGAAATTTGTATGCTCGAATTAAAATCAAAGGTTTTGAGCCCCGACTATATTACCAGTTTTAATCTATTTTTTTTAAAGAGATTTTTTGTCCCCAGGACATGATCGGGTTGTTACGATCAAATCTCGGAATTTTTTTCTATTGCGAAAGTTTGGTGTTGTCTGGGTCTTTGTATTTATCTACCAGGGGTTGTAATCCGGCAGCACATTCATCCATCCACGTACACTTCATTCATTCTGAGAAGAGGGTTGACAAGATTCCAGCTGCCTAAGATTCTTCCTAGGCCTGAGAATATAGAGTGCAGGAATCCTTCTGATATACTGGAATGAGGCCCGGGTGCCATAACTGATATGAAAACATAACACTCATTGTTCCCTAACATCTGTATGCCCGGATTGGATACCGCCAGGTACCTATAGCTGGCAATCATAGACTCTCCCTGCTTGTCCACCATTCCTCTCTTCATCATCACTCACTTGGATCAATCCCACTTGAAGCTTCTTTCTTGTTGAGTAGAAATACCGCACCCTTTCGCTGCGAGAGTTGTTGACAGCCGCCCCTCTGTCCTCCTACATCTGTCAGGTGGTCATAACTGCTTAACCAGATGTCAGCTACAGATGTTTTTGAAACCACAGGTTTGTGTGGAGTACGGGAATCGAACCCGTGAACACCAATCTGGACACCAATCCAGTTACTGGCTGTGGACAAGTGTGCTTAACTTCAGTGATCTAACGAGAATCTATAATTAAAGACCAAAGACATAATATGGCGGGAAATTCAAGTTGGTTGACCCGACGCTAAGAAGAGGCCCAGGTAAAGAGGCCAGGTTCATTCACCTGGAAATGTGATAGCATTAGGGATTCCCAGAGAGAAGGAAGTAGGTCAACCTATACCGAATCCAGAGTTAGTTGGCGACGAACCTCCACATCAAGGAGTTATAAAGAAAATTGGATCGTTAGTCGGAACTCAACCTCAAACTTTGTTTTTCAGATAATTCGTTTGTTATTTTATCATTTAAAAAGTATCTATACCGTACATTGTTTAATATGTTTGAATGAACTTAGTTTTAGCCCTTCTGACCGGAGAAAATATATCTCCTCTTTTCATATACTACAATAGTTTCTACCAAGGTAAAAAGGCAAGGAAACTTTATTACTGTTGCGTATTCTCTGCGTATATATTGAAACCAGTTCTCTCTAGGCGGTATTTGTAAACAATAATAGATGTATCTGTGTTCCTCTAGTTTCCTAGGAGGATAAAAAGTATTTAATTTTGATAATTTTATAATTTATATAATGGTTTACAATGATCAGAATATTTTATTTATTTTTTATGTGAAAGATGAATATTAAGCCGTGACATCCGTGACAATACATCTGTGAAAAAACAATCTTTACATTATAATTCTTTGGTTACTATACTTGCTCTTGCTTTGTTGCTTGTATGTATTTAATTTAGTTCGCGTACTTAAAATGAACCGGCGTCAAACCTTATAGAAATCCAATAGTTTAATACTTACATTTTAGGTTTGGAAAAAATTCTTAAAAGTATAAAAAAGTTCTCCAGTAATCAGGCGCGCAACTAGACATTTGGTTAGAGGGGGGCTAGGGGGAAATATTTCGCGCGAAGCGCGAAAATTTTTTTGGCCCCCCTTAACATTTTTAGGGGGGGGCAAGAAAAATGTGTGTTATACTTAAACAAGAAAAACTAACCTTACCAACCGGATATTCAGTTATAAGTCAACACATCTGATATAAAATGAAACAAGAAATCTAGTCTGGTCAGGGGCGGATACAGGGGGGGGGGCAGGAGGACATTCGCCCCCCCCCTGAGTTTTGAATTTTTTGTTCTTATTTCAGAATAGCTTCTCAATAGCATATGCTTAATTCGGAAAGAAACCTTAGTGCAAAACAGGAAAAATATCTGTCTTAATAAACTATAATGTGTGAAAATTTAAAAATCTAGTTTTTTAGTCTTTAGTCATTAATTTNCTACATCAGACAAAACTGTACAGTACACAAACAGGCTACATCAGACAAAACTGTACAGTACACAAACAGGCTACATCAGACAAAACTGTACAGTACACAAACAGGCTACATCAGACAAAACTGTACAGTACACAAACAGGCTACATCAGACAAAACTGTACAGTACACAAACAGGCTACATCAGACAAAACTGTACAGTACACAAACAGGCTACATCAGACAAAACTGTACAGTACACAAACAGGCTACATCAGACAAAACTGTACAGTACACAAACAGGCTACATCAGACAAAACTGTACAGTACACAAACAGGCTACATCAGACAAAACGGGACAGTACACAAACAGGCTACATCAGACAAAACGGGACAGTACACAAACAGGCTACATCAGACAAAACTGTACAGTACCAAATTATACTATCCCCTTTTGAGGGTGAAATTTTTGTTTGCCAAAAGATCACTATTAGGTAATGTAAGTGTAATTTTTCATTGGCGCCCCCCCCCCCTAGAAAAAGGCCTTAGAGAGTAGGCATAGGGCTTAAATGCATGTTTATAGCTCAATGTTCAATGGCCAGCAGAAAGAAAAAAATTAGACCGATAACCTTACTAGTTTGGGTGCTAGGGAGAGTGCTAGGGAGGGTGGAAACAAATGCTTAACAAATATGAAAGTGTGACACATGGTTCTTCAAAAATATAGTTTTTAGATTTGTAGCTTTAGTCACAAAAAAGTTATGGGCTATTTTAAATTTTTTTTTCACAGACCGAACTTTTTTTCCGCCCTGTACCCTACAAACAAAAAATCCTTTTAATACTATTCATTAAAAGTCACAAAATTTCACGGTGATAGTGTCAAAAATGAGAGCGCCAAGACAAAAAAAACTACAGGGGGGGGGGCTCAGCCTAGCTGTTTAGGGTTAAGAAGGAGCAGGTACGGTTGTAAATCTGGGATATTTTAAATGAAAGAAGATCACTTGATACTACGCTTACTCACTGTCCTTTTAAAGCAACTTCTATCTTCGGCCAAGAAAATGGGCATTTAAATCTGCTTGATTTATCTTAGCAATTTGCTAAAGAAAGGTTTTAACAAAGAAATCTTATTTCAAATAGAAACAATTTATCTTAAGATACAATTATTCATTTCTTTGTTTAGTTCTTGTTTAAAATTTATTTGAAAGATAAAAGAAATATTAAATAATACACTTTCAGGGTTTCCATCACAAAATTTTCTTGCTAAAAATTTCCATCTGTAAAGTATTGTTGTAAATGATAATTTTGTCACGTTGAGAGGTGCGCTAAACAAAGTTAATAGAATTGGATTTTTGACAAACTCAAATTTTCATACATAGGAATATCTGAGGTCCAGTAAACTGGGTATACGGGTCAGAAAATTCGAGTTTTTGACAAAGAATCAATACCTTTGGCGATAGTTAGCCGAGATTCGTATTGAATATATATACAGGGTGTCCCAAAAAACATAAGAATTCAGTGACGAATTGGAAATCGTCTTTGTTATGAATATGTCTGCTAGAATTTATTTTATGAAAACGGTAAAAGACTGTAAAGATGTGTCTATAATGTCTTTGCAAGATAAACAGTGAAGACGGACAAGTTTATTCTGTTTGTATACTGTGATTTTCTTGTTTTACTAAGTACAACCGTATGCAGTCAAAACATAAACAAACAAAATATGAACATAGCAGACGAAACTCTTACAGATTACAGCTTTCTCCGTAGGTATCACTATACTAAATCAGAGAATTATTTTAAAAGACGATATCGAATTCGTCACTAAATTCCCATGTTTATTGGGACACCCTGTATATTGGTATTTAATATTTGTAGAAATCTTAATTTCCTCTTCCTTCAAATTGATAAATATCAAAGAAGAATTTTGTGTAACCCTTGAATTCCACATTTTACATTGAGGAAACATACAGAAATTTGTGCTTCGCGCAATTTTTCCCCCCTTGCCCCAGCTGCTTAGCCGATGACCAGACGAACTCTTTTGTACATTGTAGGTTTTTGCAATTTTCAATTTTATGATAAAAATCTTATCATCAATGTAATATAAAATATGAACTATATTAGGAATTCAGAAAATTGGTATATCGGAATACTTTAGAGTATAGAATGTCGAGTTCATTCAGCTGAATCAGAATTATCGAATCTGACATTTATTTTAAAGTTTTTAAAAGGGCACATAAATCATCCTATAGATATATATACAAAAGATTAACTCATTTGGTGGAATTTAACGTTTTGCCATGGTTTGTATGTTTTGTTTACTAATATAAAGACTTTCAAGATTTAAAATTAGATTTTTCCAAACGTTGCAATTTTTTATCTTAAATAGAAAATGTAAAAATTATTCAAAAAGATTGCTATAATATTTTTTTTGTTCGTTTTTACATATACTTTCTGTCAGGATAGAAGTTTTGACATTTACAAACAATTTTGAAAACATATAGGCAAAAAACCAATATATCTAATGTCATAACAATAGACTGTCTCAATTTTTAAGGGCTTCTATTACCTGTGTATACTCTATGACCCTGCACTGATTCAGTAACTTTTCAATAGGTTCCTCTAGGTTCAAAGCAACTCCCCTTGCAGTAAGATAAACTGTTAATATTGCCCTATAAACAAATGTTATTAGTAAACATTTATTGCATACTGGAATTATTTGTATTGTGATAATCTATTTTTTTTCGTGTGCTTTATTATTTATACCAATTATAAAAAACAACAAATCCTTTTTAGAGATATTTAGTCTTCGGGCCGTAGTTTCTGCTAAATTTGAAGTTTTGGAGTTGTTACTTCAAATAAAAAAACGTTTTTTCTTGTTTTTCTCACCTTGCATGCCAGTGAAAAGGAGAAGGATAGATAAGAAGAGCTGTATATAGAGAGTCTTTCATCAATTCTCCTGCAAAACCCCCTAGTTCTCCTCCTTTCAACCCCTGAAGGAGAAGCATATAGAGAGTTTTTCATCAATTCTCCTGCAAAACCTCTTAGTTCTCCTCCTTTCAACCCCTGAAGGAGAAGTATACAGAGAGTTTTTCATTAATTCTCCTGCAAAACCTCTTAGTTCTCCTCCTTTCAACCCCTGAAGGAGAAGTATATACAGAGTTTTTCATCAATTCGCCTGCAAAACCTCTTAGTTCTCCTCCTTTCAACCCCTGAAGGAGAAGTATATAGAGAGTTTTTCATTAATTCTCCTGCAAAACCCCCTAGTTCTCCTTCTTTCAACCCCTGAAGGAAGTGCTTTATCAGTTCTCCTGCAATTTTTCTCACCCCCTGAAGGAGACGTATAATGAGGAGTTATTCATCAGAAACGTCCATTATAAAATGAAAATGGATAACCTTAAAATTTTGAATTGAATTATTTTTTACTTGGTCAAACTGTCCTAGGACTAAGAATTAAGAAAAAAAAATATCGAAATATGTTTTCAACTTTGAACTTGCGAATTCTTCAGATGTAAACTAATGAATTAATTCGAAATTTTTCAATTAAAAATATTCCACAAAATGTTATGCTCTAATTGCAAACTTACCAAACAGTTTTGCAAAACAAATCTGGGCCGGGACACATTACACAAATCTGGGTTGGGACACGTTTAAAAAATCTGGACCAGGACACGTTAAAAAAATCTGGTACGGGACATGCCAAACAAATCTGGCCCGGGACACTTTAAACAAATCTGGGCTGGGACACGTTAAAAAAATCTGGGCCGGGACATTTTAAAAAAATCTGGGCCGGGACATTTTAAACAAATCTGGGCCGGGACATTTTAAACAAATCTGGGCCGGGACATTTTAAACAAATCTGGGCCGGGACATTTTTAACAAATCTGGGCCGGGACATTTTAAACAAATCTGGGCCGGGACACTTTACAAATCTGGGCCGGGACATTTTAAACAAATCTGGGCCGGGACATTTTTAACAAATCTGGGCCGGGACATTTTAAACAAATCTGGGCCGGGACACTTTAAACAAATCTGGGCCGGGACATTTTAAAGAAATCTGGGCTGGGACATTTTAAACAAATCTGGGCCGGGACACTTTAAACAAATCTGGGCCGGGACATTTTAAAGAAATCTGGGCCGGGACTTTTGAAACAAATCTGGGCCGGGACATTTTAAACAAATCTGGGCCGGGACATTTTAAACAAATCTGGGCCGGGACATGCTAAGCAAATCTGGGTTGGGACACGTTAAACAAATCTGGTACGGGACATGCCAAACAAATCTGGGCCGGGACACTTTAAGCAAATCTGGGCCGGGACATGCTAAGCAAATCTGGGCCGGGACATTTTAAACAAATCTGGGCCGGGACACTTTAAACAAATCTGGGCCGGGACATTTTAAACAAATCTGGGCCGGGAGAGTGAGAGCGCGTTAAACTGAAAATTATTCCTTTTGGTTTGCAGTCTTTTTAGTACCCAACATAGGCGCTCACCGGGGGGGGGGGTTCATGGAGGTTCAGCTATGACCCCCCCTGGATCAGTGAAATCTGTGGTTTCTAGGGTATTTTAAGCCCCCCCAACACTGGTACCGAGCCCTTCTCCCCTGGAAAGAAAAAAATTAAGCCCCCCTCTATACCTGTGTACGCCCCTGGTACCCAACAATAAATAAGGTAAAGAGAGCTTCTAAACTATAAGCCTAAGCACAAAATACAATCTCATCGTCATAATGTCTGCTGGAAGGTGAAACATTATGTTGCCTAAAAGCAATTATTTCTTTTATCTACGTTCTTAGGAGAGTGAATGGAACCACAGTTCACATTAACGAGACAAGATAAGTAGCTTCTTTTAAAAACTATTAAATAAAATTTATCCAATGGCCATATGTGTCATACACAAGGAAATAAAATCTATTATTATGAAGTTTCCAATATTTAAAAACTGTATTTTGTTAAAGTTTGCTTTTGTTAAACTAAAAAAAAGAGAAAAAAATGAACCTTCTGATTTTTTGCTATTGCTTAAACACATTATCTAAATATGTGCTTTGCTTGTCTGGGTGTTCTGCTTCTGGTGTTGTTTGTTTGTTTAAAAAAACGTAAAAACGACTAAACCGATCGAGCCCAAATTTTTGAGACAACTCCCATGACCTAAGAAATGGTTTATAGATGGTCGTAGAGGAAAAATTTTTACGGAGAAAATGTTGAAATTTATTACTTAAAAAATGTAAACCAAAAATCCGCGAAAATTTGAGAACGATTTAAAATGGCGACTTTCGCAGTTCAAATTGTTGATAGAAAAGGAAAGCCTTGTATTTTATATTTTATCAAGTGTACATTGCCCACTCCCTGTTTAAATCCTTTTCTGTGTATTTCAATCTCCATCAAGCGTATTCATTTCAAAGTGAATAGTTTTACATAGTCCTGTGTCACAGTTTGAATTATAAAAAGAGAATATTAAAAACATGAAAACATATTTTCAACAAAGATAAAGTACTAAAACCTTCACCAACCATGCTGCCTAATCTTTTATAACTATGATGTGCATCATGGTGTCCAATCTATGTAATCTATGATGTGAACCATCATGTTGTCCAATCTGTGTAATCTATAATGTGAATCATTATGTTGTTCAATCTATGTAATCTATGATGTAATTGTGAAACATCATGTTGTCCAATCTGTGAAATCTATGATGTGAACCATCATGTTGTCCAATCTGTGTAATCTATGATGTGAACCATCATGTTGTCCAATCTACGTAATCTATTATGTGAACCATCATGTTGTCCCATCTATGTAATCTTTGATGGGAACCAAACCAACCATGTTGTCCCATCCATATAATCTATGATGTGAACCAACCCAACCATGTTGTACCATCCATGTAATCTATGATGTGAACCAATCCAACCATGTTGTACCATCCATGTAATCTATGATGTGAACCAATCCAACTGTGCAAACATTTTTTAGTTTCCAAAATCAACTTCTATTCCTCTCCAATATCTGTTGACAAAGTACTTAGCTTTCGTTTCGTTTCGTTTTACACTTTTATTTTCATTATTTTGCTAAAATATTCACCCAAATCTGATACTTTAAAAGGTGACCCATGGCAAATTAGAGGTCCTGGTTTAAAGGTTTATAGTTCAGAAAACTGATTGTTTTCAATTCTGACTTTCCTTTAAAAGTGTTTCATGCATTTCCACAACAGGAAAAATACAGGAATTATCACAGTTAAATACTTTCAAACCTAGAAAAACAGCAATATCTTCCACATTATTGATCAGTTAAATGTTTCAAGGGCAACGTTGTGAATCTGGAATTGCAATCTTTGAATGGGAGTCCCTTGAAATATAATGGGAGTTCCTTGAAATATAATGGGAGTCACTTGAAATATAATGGGAGTCACTTGAAATATAATGGGAGTCCCTTGAAATATAATGGGAGTCCCTTGTGATATAATGGGAGTCACTTGAAATATAATGGGAGTCCCTTGAAATATAATGGGAGTCCCTTGAAATATAATGGGAGTCACTTGAAATATAATGGGAGTCCCTTAAAATATAATGGGAGTCCCTTGAAATATAATGGGAGTCACTTGAAATATAATGGGAGTCATCTCATGATTTATGGATGTCCTCCGAACAGTAACTCGCATTCTGTTAATGCCAAACCAATGGGCGCAATCTCGTCAGCTATTGATGTAAACACGGACAATAGCTAGAAATCAATCAATGCCAAACCACTTGGCGCAATCTCATGAGCTATCAATGTCAACCGGACACTAGCTCGTATTCTATCAATGCCAAATCAATGGGCGCGATCTCGTCAGCTATCAATGTCAAAACGGACACTAGCTGGAAATCAATCATTGTCAAACCACTGGGCAGGATCTCATGAGCTTTCAATGTCAACCAGACACTAGCTTGTATTCTGTCAACACCAAACCATTGGTTGCAATCTTGTCAGCTATCGATGTCAACAAGGGCACTAGCTATTAATCGATCAATGCCAAACCAATGTGCAACTTGTAGTTTTCAACGAGAACCAAATTACTCTCTTGCAGCAATATATCAACTGATATATTATATTATATTAGAGTTAGGTTTTAATAGCGTAATTACAAGTTATGTGCTGTTATATATAAAATAGTTAAGCAATTACAATATGGGTATGACGAAGATATATATTTCTACGTATTTAAATTGGGTTAATGGCACATTTAGCTATATGGACACCCTCTCTTACCTTAATTTTGACGAATTTTAAATGAGAGTTCAAATTATAACTGAAAATATTCCGATAAAGACAGTTTTTAGTTTTAGTTAGTTTTACATGGACCTCATGCTTTGTGAGCAACCTTGTAAATACTATATCTGTTAAGCTCTATAACTCTGTTATAAACTCTTTATATGATATATCTCCCCCCTTTTAATATTTAATCCCTGAGTTCTAACTTACCCAAAAGTTTCCTGGCTGATAAAGTTTGTGGTTTGATATTTTTGTTTTAGTTTGACACCCAGAGCTGGAGATAACGCCCTGCTCCGGGTTTATAGTTGAGAAGATCGCCTGTTCCGGGGTTTTATTAGAGAAAACGTCCAGCTCCGGGGTTTTATTAGAGAAAACGTCCTGCTCCGGGTTAGTTGGACCCGGCATCTGATCTCTCCAGGTCTCCAGGTTATTATTCATGGGGAACTTGTGCTCAGTCATCCTGCAATAATATTTATTCATAATTATTCCTTTCTTTTTACAATTCTTGTGACAAACATGATAACCTTAGAACTCTGGAATAGGAAAACTTTTAGACTCAAGTTTTGACTTTACAAAGTCCAATGAATATGAAGCACAGCAATTGTGCAGTGTAAACTGACCGATTTCACTTAATAAGTAATTAAGTTAACAATAAAATATTTGCTTTGTGACAACGTCAATAATTTGTCATATTTTTATGGTTATCCTAGTAGAAGAAGTCTTTTTTCATATAAAATACTTTTTAATATATAAAATGCTGAAAAGATTTTAAAATAACAACAATTTTGTCCTAAATTACGAAAAGAATGTTAGTTGATCTTTTTAGGATTAAAAGTTAAAGGGATTGTTAATAATAATGTTCAGAAAAGTACCCTTTAAACATCTTTCTTTAATAATAAATTAGACTAGAAAACTACTATAGTTTCTTCTTTGCTTCACACTTAGAAATCTACAAGTCTTTTCCGGAAAATTTGAATGCAAATGTTCTTCATTTTTGTTTAAAGGGACTTTATTCCAAATGTTAATTAACCCTCTCTCTGCAGAAAAATTTGATTCTTTTTTAAACCTTTAAAAACGACGTTGATATCCTGTTTTCTCTCTGAAAATTGGTAATATTTAAATGAGGATTAAAGCAGCGGAAGCAAGTAAGAAAATATACAGAATAAACATTTTTAAGAGAGAAAGACGACAAAATTTATTAAGATTTTCAAGAGTAACGTTACAAATGTTAGTAAAAGTACTTTGATGTTCTAATCCCAATATATTTACATCCTATCGTAGACCACAGATATTTTGGAATTCTCTTAGTCAAATAATGTAAGTTTGAATTATGAAAGTTTTACACCAGATCAGGTGTTGCAAAGGTAAAGGGAAAAGCAAATTAGAGTTGGTGGCAAAAACTGAATTCCTTAAAAAAACGTAAACCTACTTTGTACCCTTGATGTTCAGTAAAGAAATGTTCAAAAGCCGGATATACCGAGATATAGCATCACTTAATACTGTACATGCAAGTCAAATAAACACGACTAACAGGTTCTAAACTTGTATGACCAAAATAAGTTCGGAACTCAACTTTTAATGAAATATCTTTGATTAGGAATTTTAGAATAATTGCTAGTCAATAATTAAAAGAGTATTACAGTCAAGGTAGTCTATTAAGATTAAATACTCTGCATGCGCTCCAAAGTCAATAAATGTCGTCTTCATAGCAATGAAGGATATGTCATAGGAGGATTTTGAGACTCCATGGCTGTGAAAACAGCATTTCTTGTAAATCGGAATGCATCTAGAATATCTAACCTTAATAAATAGCCTTGATTACAGTATTATATATAAATTGGCAAGATTTTTATTTCAATCCCATTATTCTTTCATTTTTAGTAATTATCATGTTTATTTAAACTCCCTGTATGGTGAGGGATTTCTCCAGAGTTATTCATTCTACACAGTTCTAGATTCTGAAAAATATTAAATATTATCTTGATATCCAAAAAATTCTTTTTCATAGAGACACCTTGTATTGTAAACCCACCAAGAAATGTATATACGTTGGAGATTGTATTCTAGTTCATTCAACCCAAGCTAAGTTTTATCATGAGTTGAAAACTGGACAAACAAATAATAATGATTTAACCCGTTACTCTGTAGTTGGGAATCCCTAACTAACTCATGACGATAGATTCCATCATCATACTCCATGATGATAGAATCAAGGGTGGATGTAAACCCATCCAGAAATGTATACGTTGATTCTAGTTCATTCAACCCAAGCTAAGTTTTATCATGAGTTGAGAACTGGACAAACAAATAATAATGATTTAACCCGTTACTCTGGAGCTGTTACCAACGGCGAGAGGAAATTTCCAGGGCAGCGAGATTCAAACCCTGGTGACCCTTATCTGGGAAACACGGATAACGGTGCTTTCGTCTGCAGAGAAAGCAAACTGAACGTCCATTTTGTCTCCGAGAAGAGGGACAGTCTTGATGAAGTATCAGAAGAGAGCGGTCGATAACATCTCCAGTTGCTCCGAGAGGAGAATTAGCTCCATCTATGATTCCAGGATTAACTTCGGTTGATCCTCAGTTTGTATTTTAATAATAATGTAAAATAAATGTCCGTGCAAAGTTAGTGCTTTAATCGATTCCATCTGGCTTGTTATATTGAGTTTTTCTTTGTAAAGTTTCCTTTATTGAGTTCTTTATATATGAGTTTCTATTAAGTTTATAGTATGTATTTTTGAAATTAGATTTGATAATTAATATATTTTTAGCAGGGGATGAGACTGTAAAGACGACCTGAAACTCTTTAAATTTGAGAAAAGTCTTCTTCTTTGACTATAATAGTCATTTGATGATCTATTTAATTCCATACAGTCGTCTATGAAGACTCATCCTTTGAGGGTAACCCTGTAAGTCTGTGTTGTTGTATGGGTGTATGTTTGTTTGTTTGTCTTTGTTTTATATTGTACAAAGAGAAGATGCTCACCGATAAAGTCACAATTAAAAGTTAAAATAGAAGATGGGCGCGAAGCGCCTTAAAAGCCTAGTACAAATATATATATGAAAAAACAGTTGCTGTCATCATAAGCATATACTATACTATACATGAAAAGTTCTCAAACCATTCATACTGATGATTGCATAAAAAGCATGAAACAATTTGTTTATGAATAAAATGTTATAAGAAGATTGTTGCGTTTCAACTGATACTATATACAGAATGATGTTAGCTGTATATGCACAACCGAGGTTCCATATATATCATGTAGATTAAATAAATGCAAACCATGTAGTATAATACAACTTGACAGATATACAAGGAAATATAGCAATAACAGATTAAATGTTTTATATGTATACATATACAATGTATAAAACATTTAATCTCTTATTGCTATATTTCCTATATATACTTTACAAGAATATACAAATATAAAGCAGTAGGAAGAGATAGACGACTTTGTTAACAAGAACGTGCACAAAAAGTAACATTGTGTAATGTTCACTGTGCACTGTGCTTGGTGTTCATAGATCCTTTCATGAGTTGATTTACTTTTTAACAATATACTCAAATATTCAAATATTCAAATATTCAAATATTCAAATATTCAAATATTCAAATACTCAAATATTCAAATAATTACGAAGAAAAAATCAACATTTTACGACAAAATTGTTGCTAGAAGAGGGGTGCATGCAAAGCACCCTCAATGCCAAGTAATATAAAATTTTCTTTATGTAGCGAAGTTGGATCCTATTATTTACATAAACTACATGTTTCCACCAGTCTAATGAGCCATAAAACCAATTCTTCACGGGGGGGGGGGGGGGGGGTTCAAATAACCACAATTCTTAGCTAGCTGTATTCTTTAACTTTCTTTCAAAACAACATTTTAGTGACCTTGACAATTGATTGGACAAGTGCAGTGTTGTAGGAAAAAACTTAACTTTTACCAAACTAGAATCTATTTGATTTTTACCAATGAAACAGTTGTACGGTTTACAGTTTTTGAAAAAGAGAGTAAAGTCTTTTGTAATATTTCACCAGTTGTTTATAGTCAGTAGAAGAAACGGGTTTTTACAATTTTTAAATGTCTAGCAAGTCAATCCCTTTAAATGCACTGTTTGTGTTTAATGTAGTACTGACCAGTCTGGAATACCTAATGTAGTAAAGTCGACAGGCCCGGTACGTTTTATGCAACCAATGTATTGTATAGACTCAGAGATTCAGAACGGTACAATTATGTTTTTTTTATCTGATCAAAAATGTGAAAGACATCGTCGTTTTCTAGCTTATGAGGTGTTTAATTTGAACAATTTCCTCTGTTGTTTCTAAAGCAAAGTTGCGTAAAATAGTCAATTTTCAGAGATGAGTTGAATCCTAAAGTGACAAACAAATCTTTTCGACTGCAGTTCAAAAATAAAGCTTTCAGAAAAATTAATTAGTTCCTCCNCCCACCAAAATAAGAATAACATTGAACAATGCAACCTTTGATGTTTTTAATTATCTGAAAGGAAATTATTTTCTTCGTGAAATATTTGACGAAAGCATGACATCTAGAGAAAATATGTTTTCCCGCCAAAATCCTCATTCAACATGTTTTTCCAGATTCTCTCAATTTCAAATAGGACTGACAAGTATGGTTTCCAATCTTGATACTTTCACAATTTCCCCACTTTTAAATCCTCAGTTTTCTATGGTAAATGTTTTAAAATCAAGATTATTATAAAATCTCTAAAATTAGTTCAATTGTATTGTTCTCTATATATAGCTCTGTTGTTTGTTTCTGAAGGAATTAATTAATTTAACCCATGAAACATAAAATTAACATTTTAAAGAGAATGTTCAATTTTTAGCAAAGGTAAATAATAGTTGTAAACTGAAAGAGGAACCATCTGAGCCAATTCACCGACCGACAAGGTTCCGTTTTTCTTGTACAGTTAGATTTGAAGATTAAAGTTGTCTTAAAGCTTTGTCAGAATTAGAATAAACACTTTTAAACCTTTAACCCCTATAAAGCAGGGGGTCTAAATCTATGTATAGCCTGGGTATAGAAAAGGCATTAGAAAAAAAATTGGACCGATAACTTTAATAGTTTGGGTTCTAGGATGGTTAAAAAAAATGCAAAAAAAGGTAGAAAACTTTACTCAGACCGGACTATTTGCCGCCCATTACCCTACCTTATGCATTAAAAAATAAAATTTTACAGAAAATCCTTTAAATTTCTATGCATAAACCCTATCTCCATAGCCTCTTTAAGGTTAAAAACGACAATACCTTTCACAATACTGATCATTTGGAGGTTTAAAGGGCGACCGTTGTTAATTGGGCATTCAGTCAATTTATACAATTAATTTTACAATACATGGCTATCTAACTGAGAATTAAACTAGTTCAAAGAAAATGTCTAATTCTTGCAATCAGCAAATTATGAGGAAACAATTTTAGGAAAAAGTTTTCAAATAGAAAACTCACTCATTCTATCAAACTATGAAACATTTTGTTTTTTAGTCCTTCTATCCCTGCAGGCTGCAACTTGATGATGTATGATATTTCAGACAAAATCTAATTAATTTATTAGATTTCATAGGCCAATATCAACGACATCAGGTTACAAATGTATAGGAATTAGAAAATTAGAATTGCGAGTAATCAGTTCTTTTTGCATTTTTTTCCATAAAATTATATTTTTTAAATCCAGAAAAATTTAATGTCGAAATCGATAATTTATTAAAAATTTGGGAGCGAAAATTATCGAATCATAATCTAAACGGAGAAAAATGAGACAAAACTATTCTTGAAATCAAAAAAATGATTTTTGAAATGGAATAGCAATTTTTGTAAATTTTATATGGATGGTTCTAATAATCTTTGTTGTGTTCTCACTTTAATAGATTTTTTTATTAAAAAACTTTAGAGTGTAATTTTTTGTGAAATTTAATACCAAAATCATGTGGAGGGGGGGGGGGGGGTGACAGTCCTTGAAAGAACAGCATTCCAACTATTCAACTAGAGAATTGTATTATGTAAAGTGGACATTGCAAAACTGCAGTGTGCTTCTTTCCGACTGAACTAATCTAGCATAGTAACAGTTCAGCTTTCGTGCATCCAGACTACATCATTTACGTAACAAACTTCATAAGCTTTCTTATGCATGTTGCAGAAATATGCATAATGCGTATTAACTTTATTTTACCTCAAAGTCGTCTTTCTTTCCATAAAAAATATCATATTTTTGGTGTGATATCGTTAATCTTTAACTTTTGATCTCGATATCTAAAGTACACTGTTAAATTTGAGGGTTTAAGTTCTCCATGAAGGGTATTAAAATCACGGGATATCAAAGAGTAATGAATTAAAATATCTCCTGCAGAGATATCAACGATTGATCCCGAGATGTACAAAACAAAAATGTTCAGGAGTTATTGTGAGTAAGACAGTATGGTATAACAGAAGATATATTTTTAAGAAATAAGAATAATGAATATAAATCAACAGAATCATAAAAAAAAGTCGTTGGTTAGATTGTTGTAAAAAAGTGTTGTAAAAAAGGCTTTTGAAGAATGCAGTTTCAAAATATATAAAAAAAATGTTAGATGTTATTGTAAATGAAACCTTTAAAAGCCAAAATCCTTAATACAATTACGTATTTTTTAAGGAAATCATTTCGTGGTCCTAAAGCCTGACTTAGCTATTACCATAGATATTTATTTATCTACGGTTTATACTATATGACCGTGTATAAAAAAGTCCTTTTCAATGTTCTCCCTTTTTGTTGTTGTAAATTTCCACTTTTTAATCTTAAAAATCTCTTCCAACATTAGAACTTCATCAAATCCAAGGAAAGTTATTTCAGAAGTGTACGTATCTTTTGTACTGCAGTGTACTGTCTCTGGGTGCTAATGTAAACAATACAGATGTAGAAGCCTGACATGGGATCCATCTTTCACTAA